ACATCCCCAGGGACTGGTCTCCCTCCCACGCTCAGAGCAGGCCCCTGCAGCAAGGGCCCTGCAGACTGCGGTCCCATCCTTCACAGCTAATGGTGTCTGTTTTGTTTTTGGTTTTTTCCAGTGTCTTCAAAAAGATTTTCTGCCAAGGTGAGCCACTAGGTCATGGACGCCTGGCTCTGGGCTGTCCCGTCTGCCCTGCGGGGCTGGCAGGAGCTGTGCAGGCAGGCAGTCTGGGGGGTTGCGGCGCTTTCCAAGGGGTTCTTTCCCTTTGGTTCCCCCAAGGCCAGTTCCTGGGCTGCAGGGAGACGGAGGCCTTCCCATCCAGGCCTGGGGTCAGGGCCAAGGCCACCTGACCTGGCACCCCAAGCTCTGCCTGGACACAGACCCACCCTGGGAATTTCCAGGAGACCCCGCACTTGTGGGGCGGTGGTAAGGGGTCTTGACCTTCTAAACCCACGATTTCATATTTGATTCATCTTTCAACAGAAAGCAGGAGGGTTCTTTTCCTTAATGAACTAAATGATAAAGAATATCTTTAAAAGCTAGACAAACACCAACAAGACACGCTCTGTGCCGGACTGGTAGCCTGCAAACCTGGCTCACTTTACAGTTCCCGAGTCGGGGGGCCGAGGAGAGGGCGCCCGGAGAATGGGGGAGGTGATGATGTCGCTCCCCGGCCAGTGGGCTGGACGCACGCAGTAAGGCCGGGGGCGCTCCGCGGAGTGGGGGCGGGGCCGGCGCGGGGCGTGACCTTCCCCTCGCCCCACCCCCAGGAGGCCTTCCGGCTCCTCTACTTCACCTACCAGCGCGAGGGCTTCCTGAGCTTGTGGCGCGGGAACTCGGCCACCATGGTGCGCGTCGTCCCGTACGCCGCCATTCAGTTCAGCGCGCACGAGGAGTACAAGCGCATCCTGGGCCGCTACTACGGTTTCCGCGGAGAGTGAGCTCGCCCTGCCGCCCCGCGACTTCACTGCACCCCACTCCTGGCCCCCACACCCTCACCAGGCCAGAGCCCTCTCCTTCCCCTATTCCCCTCCTAGCCAACGCCCCGAGGGCCAGGGGTCCCCGTCAGTCATTCATTAGCCACTCAAGGAGGGAAGAAGCAAAGCAGCCCTGGGAATCTCCAAATGACATCCACCCCAGGGACCGCATCAGCTCGGTCCGCGAGGGAGCCAGCCCCGCCCCTGCCCGGCCCTCGGCTTCCCCGCCGCAGTCTGCGCGCACCGGGTGTCGGGGTCTCACCTGCTCTCCCGCCCCCGCAGAGCCCTGCCCCCCTGGCCCCGCCTCCTGGCCGGCGCTCTGGCTGGAACCACGGCCACCTCGCTGACCTACCCCCTGGACCTGGTCAGAGCCAGGATGGCCGTGACCCCAAAGGAGATGTGAGTCCTGCCCTGGTGCCGCTTCCACCAGCTCCGGGGGCTCCGTGTCCAGTGGGGCTCCCAAGTCGGATCCCTCCATCTTGCCCTGGGGTTTGGGTCTGGGCCTCTTTGTCCAGCTGCAGAGGAAGCCAAGCTGGGAATCTGCTGCCCGGACACCACCTGGTATGACAGGGCAGCTGTCCTGCAGCTGCCCCAGAAAGGCAGTAATAGGCCCTCAGCCCCGGGCTCAGTTCCTGCTTCTATCAAACCATCTTAGTTTTGAATTGGACACAGAGGAGTGAGAGGGCAGAGCGCAGCCTAGCGACCCGGCGATAAAGGCGGGGTCCAGCCGTAGGCATCACCCTAGGAGGCTAAGGCCTTGCCTGTGGCCATGTTCCCTAGAGGGGGAAAGCGGGACCTCCTGGCCAACGCCGGGCAGGTGGGATGAGCTGAGAATTCCTGCTGTGTGCTCAGCGCGCCCCCCCTCGCTCTGTCCTGCAGGTACAGCAACATCTTCCACGTCTTCATCCGGATCTCCCGAGAGGAGGGTTTGAAGACCCTCTACCATGGATTCACACCCACCGTGCTGGGGATCATTCCCTACGCGGGGCTGACCTTCTTCACCTATGAGACGCTCAAAAGCCTGCACAGAGGTAGGGGGCCGGGGAGCGCGGCTTACGGGGCTCAGTGACCTGAGACCCACCCCCCCAACACCCGGGAAGCTGGAGTGCAGACCTTCAATGCCTCATTTTACAACCAACTTTGGGAAGGCCAGAGTGTCACCCAGAGCCACAGCAGCCACTTGGGCACAAGGCGTACGGGAAAGCCTCTATGGAGGGCAAAGTGCTCTTCTGGGCTTTGGGTAATTTCGAGAAATTCAAAAAGTGCAGAAAAGCCCAGAGACCAATAAAACACAACCCATCCGTACCTGCCAACCAGTGCCAGCAGGCGTTCGTGTTTTGCCTTAATCACCCCAGAGGTTTTCTGTTAAAGAAAACAGTCCAGGTGAAGCTGACATCCTCCGTGGGGAGGGTCGCAGACACCGGTGACGCTTCCTTTCTTTATTAGACAGACAACAGGGATGATCAGGTGTGAGCTCGCTCTGGGTTTGAGGACTTGGTTATATGATTCCATATGCTTTTCTGGCTTTTTAAAAACTTCTTTCTCAAACTTTATAAGGAGTGCCCCAGAGGTCAGGGGCAGGGAAGCCGGGGCCCCGCGTGGGCAGGCGGGGCCAGCCAGCCGGTTCCTGAGCCCGCCATGGTGACGGGGCCGCGCATGCTCACGTTGTGCGCCCCCCTCGTCGTCCTCATTGCCCCTCTGTCCCTTCGCCGACAGAGTATGGCAGCCGGCCGCAGCCCTACCCCTTTGAGCGCATGATCTTCGGGGCCTGCGCCGGCCTCATTGGGCAGTCGGCCTCGTACCCGCTGGACGTGGTGCGCCGGCGCATGCAGACAGCTGGCGTCACCGGCCGTCCGCATGCCTCCATCGCGCACACGCTGCGCGCCATCGTATGGGAGGAGGGCGCCGTGCGTGGCCTCTACAAGGGCCTGAGCATGAACTGGATCAAGGGCCCCATCGCCGTGGGCATCAGCTTCACCACCTTCGACCTCATGCAGATCCTGCTGCGGCACCTGCAGAGCTAGGCGCTCCTTACGGCAGCCACGCGGGACAGGGTGTCGCAGTGGCCCGCCGACCCCGTTTGTTTCTGAGCCTGTGGAGCAGTCGCGTGCCGGGTTCTACCCCGGAGCCACGTCAGTCTTGTGCAACAAGCTGGGGAGCCTGGGCTTGGCACCCACAGATCCGAAAGGAGCGGCAGCGGCCTTTGAAGTGCGTGCAGTGTCCCGCCCCCTCTCCGCAGGGTGCACTGCCTCCTGAAGGTGTGGCCCCCAACGCCCCGAGTCGCGGGGGTGACCAGCACCGCTGCCTGGCTCTCTGTGACCTTAGACACGCCCCTGGCTCTGGTGACCCTGGCCCCACTGGGCCCAGAGCCAGACTCCGCCCGCCCACATGTCAGCAGAAGGGGGAAGCCTGGCTTCCCGTGGTGGGATGGGCCCAGCCTCCTGCTCAGCTGTGGCTACAGTGCGGCCTCTCGCCGGGCCCCACCGCACCCCGCCTGAACTGCCCTTGCCATTACTTCCCAGGTGACACACTTCATCACCAGAGCCTCCTGCTCAGGAGGAACCTTTTCCCCTGAGACTATTATCGGGATCCTGGACTGTTGGGCCCGACTGGGACCCTGGGAGTTAGTTTTCCCCTCTGTCGCCTACCCTCATGGTTTGTAACGCTGCCTCCAGACAGCAGGGTTTGAGGAACCCATGGGTTTGAGTCTGAGCCCTAACCCAGAGGCATTTACCAAAAACTGGACGTCCAGGTCACTTCCTTGAGATCAGGAACCTGTCACCTCTGTCCCACTGGCTGTACCAACAGAGGCCAGGCCCAGGCTGTGACCCTCTGCCCACAGGCACAGCAGCTGCTAGGGGGACCCATGGAATCTGGCATGCACACCCCAGTCTCCCTACCTAAGCAGGCACTTGCCCAGGACATAGGGCAGTTGGAGGCCTACAGGGCTGTCTGTGCACAGAGCACACAGAGGTGGCTGGCAGCTTTGACCCTCCCAGAGAGCCGCAAGACAGCGCACAGCCTGGAGGCAGGAAGCTCGGAAAAGTCAGGATTCCCCCAGGGAGCTAGTCTTATGGAGAAGTCCCCTGGGGCCTGCTGGGTGTCACAGAGTCTCAGAAACACCCATTTCCTAATGATATTTGAGTCTCTTTATTTTTTTGGCTTTGTTTTTAGATTTGGCTGACCTCAGGTCTATTTGCAGCACACCCTGACCATCCTATATGGTGCCAGGATGAGGTCACCCCGAGGGTGGGTGGGTGTCACAGGTGGCTCCGCAGCCAGGCTGTGTGAAACGGCCTGAGGAGGGGTGCCACATGTGCATTTCCAGTAGTGGCTTTCATTTCTTCCCTTTGTCCTGTCCTGTTTCCGTTCTTCTTGCCTTGAACGGCAGGGTTTGAAGATCCCTCTTTCTGTCCTTCCTTGCATGTGTTTGCCTAACCAGCTGCAGTCTGTCCCCAGACGCCCAGGGAGCCTGTGGCCACCATCCTGTTAGGCGAGCATCCCATCCACCTTGCCCAGCACCCAGGCTCTGCAGGGGCCTCTCAGGGAGATGGCACGGGGATCCAGGGCCCCCTGGCCAGAGAGAGCAGTGGGGAGGGCGTCCACCCAAGACGGTGAGACCAGACGCATGGTTGGGCAGCACCCTGCTTGGAGCTACAGGTCAGGCAGGAGGGGGGAGGGTCCCCTGCTGGCCCCAGAGTGCCTCCCTGAGGCTCCAGCCAGTGGGCGTCCATGTGCTACCCCTGCCCACAGCCCCGTCCATAGCTGCACTGGGGCCCTCTGACCCCACCCAGTGGTTGCCCATCCTGGTCTGGAGTTACATTTTGATGCCATGAAGACATTTAGTTTATATATGTTTATATATTTTAAAGATTTGTGCCAAGAGAATATATTTAATAAACACTAAAATGACTTTCTCCTGCCCATGTCTCTTCTTTGACTCTGGCCCCCACCCCTGACCCCAAGAACCAAAAACAGGGTTGAAGTTATTTTGACAGAATTTTTTAAAATAAAGTCTTGAATAAACTCTTTAAAAATATAATTGTCATTTGACTTGTTAATACATATGGTTTTCTAGAAAATAAGACACTACACAAGAGGGTTTAGGGGGAAAAGTAGGCCAGCCTGCCAGGTTCCCCTGCTGGGGTTTCTCATGTCTCTTTCAAGAGATCCTGTGCCTATGTATTTGTCCTTTGGGGACACATGTGGCCAACCCACAATGACATCAGTCAGGATGGGCTTTCATGCTACACTGAGCACAGCTCCAAAGTCCCGAGGTTTCTCCCACACCCTGCCTGTCAACATGCTAGGCGATCTGCTCTGTGTCTGGCTGAGGCTTCAAGCACGAGTGTCGCCATCTGCAGGGGCGGGAGGATGAGGCCACAAGTCTCACAGTGGCCAAGACACAGCTGGACTGACCTGCAGGGCCCGCCCACCAGCGGTGGGTAGCGGGGTGAGAAGCACCCATCCCTTGCTGATGGGCAGCTAGGTAAGTGAGGTGTTGCCACCACCACATGGGAGTGACTCCTGGGCACTGCAAAGCCGCCCCCCACATCCACCCTGATTTGTGGTCAGCCCCTGAGCAGGGAGGAGGGAGTCAACTCCTCACTCCCCTGCCACTGTGGCCTCCCCTAACAAGCAGAGGTGAGCATGTGACCCCATCTAGGCCCGTGACAGGAAAAATTTGCTAGCTCCTTCCAGGGAGAACCGAAAGCACCCTTCCTCTCTCCCATGGGCCCTGGGGGAACACACGCTAGCCCAGGTGATGGTTGGGACTATCCTGTGATCGCCAGGTATGAACCAACCCCAAGGTGAAGCTCACACTGTGGAAAGTAGAGCAGAGAGTAGAAGTTGGATTCTTGGTGACATTGTCGGGGGCTGCTGGATCCAGCCTTACCTGAAGCTGAACTGCATCTCAACTCCCAGCAACATGAGTCACTTTGTCTTCTTTATTGAAGACAGTTGAGATTCCTGGCACTTTCTGAAATAAATCTTGCTAGTGCTAGCAAGATTTGGGTTCACGTGCTAGTGTCTGTAGTAGAAGTTTCTAGGAACAAAGATGGCTCGGTGAAGATCAAGGGATATGTTAATAACACAGCCAATGTGGCTACTGCCCCTCCCAAAGCCCAGCAGTCATGGTTCCCACCACCTGTGTTTTGCCACAAGCCACTGCAACCCCGCCTGAGGGCCTCCCCGCAGAAGCACAACCCAGCTCCCCAGGAGCAGCGCTCAGCAGTGATTGTGGACAGCCCCTCGCCTCTGCAGTGAGACTACTTAGGTCAGTCTATGCTGTCCCCTTGCAGTTCTCAGCAACACCAAGCCCAGGTTGCCCACTGAGTCACTTCGTCGGTACCCCCTGCCTGACTCCTTCCTTCTGTGTCTCCCATCCCCTCCCACATCCAATTGCAGCCACCTCCTAGGTAAATGACAGGCCTCAGTCTTCATGCCAGGGTCACCTTTTGGGGGAATTTACCCAAAGATGAAGAGAAATGCCAGATACTCCGGCAAAGAGATGGCGCCCATTTACACCATGTACCCTCAGAGTGTCCTGTGACTGCCCAAACAAAGTACCACTTAAGACTGGGGAACTTAAAGATGTGACTGAAATTTATTCTCTCCCAGTTTAGGAGGCCAGGCGTCAGCAGGGTTGGCTCCTTCCAAGGACCAAGAGGGAAGGATCTGTTCAGGACTCTCCTTGTTTGGGCTGTCTTCTCCCTAGCCTTCACATTGTCTCCCTTTTGTGCCTATCTGTGTCTAAATTTCCTCTAATAATGACAAAAAAGAAAAAATTCCTCTTGGAAGGCCACCAGTCCTGTTGGATCTGGGCCTACCCCAATGACCTCATTTTAACTTCACCACCTCTTTAAAGACCCTCTCTCCAAAAACGGTCACATTCTGCAATCCTGTTAGTTAGGACTTGAACATAAGAATTTTGGGAAAGATGCAGTGTAGCCCAAACCCTCACTAATGGCCAATCACCAGCCTCTTGGATCAGCACGAATCTGACAGGTAAAAAATGGTGTCTCTAGAATTAATACTGTCAAAATGGCCATCCTGCCCAAAGCAATCTACAGATTCAATGCAATCCCTATCAAAATACCAACAGCATTCTTCAACAAACTGGAACTAATAGTTCTAAAATTCATATGGAACCGCCAAAGACCCCAAATAGCCAAAGCAATCCTGAGAAGGAAGAATAAAGTGGGAGGGATATTGCTTCCCAACTTCAAGCTCTACTACAAAGCCACAGTAATCAAGACAATTTGGTACTGGCACAAGAACAGATCCACAGACCAGTGGAACAGAATAGAGTCCCCAGACATTAACCCAAACATACATGGTCAATTAATATACAATACAGGAGCCATGGACATACAATGGGGAAATGACAGCCTCTTCAACAGCTGGTGTTGGCAAAACTGGACAGCTACATGTAAGAGAATGAAGCTGGATCAATGCCTAACCCCATACACAAAAGTAAATTTGAAATGGATCAAAGACCTGGATGTAAGTCATGAAACCATAAAACTCTTAGAAAAAACATAGGCAAAAATCTCTTGGACATAAACATGAGCGACTTCATGAACATATCTCCCCGGGAAAGGGAAACAAAAGCAAAAATAAACAAG